TAAAAGAAAAAAAGTACAAGAATTAAGAATAGCCGAATTCATATTAGTGACGGGAAACTCATCTTAGAAAAGATGAGGTAAAAACCCGTCTGAATATGAATTGGGATATGGATAAATTTATACGTATGATGGGTCGGGTATTGAGTAATCATTACGATAATAATTTTGTTTATTTTCGCTTAGCCTTGTTCCGTCCTTGACCGTGCTGATATTTTACAAACTCGTAGTGACTTATCCGTCTAAATGCATGCGAATTTAAAACGAGTTTCTGTTCCAGACGGGATCCAGTCTAAGCTTACCCGTATTCGGACGAGAAACCCGTCTGTGATTCACATCAGACGAGTTTCCCGTCTTCGATGGGTTTCCCGTCTTCGACGAGTTTTCCGTCTTCGATGAGTTTCCCGTCTTTAATATGAATTCGGGTAATGTATATGACGCGTATAGTCACGAGGCAACAAGCATTACATCTGAAATCGCAAATGAAGCAATTGACTATGTATTTCAAGACTTTAATTGTTGTATAAAAAGTAGAAATACTAGTTGTTCTAGCCGGTTCGTCGATTATAAAATACGCTAATCTAATACTTGAAGCTTTGGACTCAAGAGACCAACGTCTTAACAACTGCTTGACGACCACATCGTTTGCCGATAAAACTGAGTTGGAAGAACTTTTAAATGAAATAATTATGAATCGTTGCTGTAATGTTGTTGAGCTGCTGGTTGTTTGTTTGTTACCGCGGCTGCGGAAATTGCGCTTTTGAACAAAACTTTTTTTCTTCGCGTATTTATAATCGACGAGTTATACTAGCTAGTAAAGTAAACCAGCTAATAACCTTGCTTCATTTGCGATTTCAGATGTAATGCTTGTTGCCTCATGACTATACGCGTCATATACATTACCCGAATTGATATTAAAGACGGGAAACTCATCGAAGACGGAAAACTCGTCGAAGACGCACCGTAACCGTTAGCTTCACTTGCGCCGCATATAACTAACTTGCGGAAAGATGGACACTTCATAACTATATGTCAGTGTGATATTTTAGCAAGTAGCGACAACACAAATGGTTAATATTAGGTTACAAGCTACGAATAAGACACAGTTGTGTGCGTTTTAGACGAGAAAAATGAACTCACAATGCTCACAATGAACATTGTCATTAAAGGGAACTCATTTAAATTGTTAGTACATTTGAGATCCCACCCAAAAGGTATTCAAAGGTATAGCCTTTCACTGCAAGCTCGTACAGTCTACTGGCGAAGGCAGTGCTCTACGAGTTTAAAGGCGGAGGTTCGAGTCCCAGATGGGAATGTTTTTTTCTTCTATTTCATCAAAGATCCTTTCAAAAGAAGATTAAGAAAAATAAAAAACTGTAGGCTTTCACCACAAGAACTGATGGTGTAGTGGTGAAGACGGTGATCTACCAAGTATACAGTCGATGGTTCAAGCCCTGGATAAACCGAAAAAGAACAAGGTAATAAGGTGGGAATTTGTGAGTGTGAGAGGAGTAGAGCGAGAGGGCGAATATGCCCTCGCCTTGGGCGAGGAGTAGACTGAGGGGGGTTCTCTTTCCCCCGCCTTTCCCGACTTTCAAAACGAGCTTTCTTCAAACATTTAATTGTGTTAGGGGATAGTTAGGGATATGTGAGGATAGGAAAAATTAGGGATAGATAGGAGTAAATTGGAGGATAAATAGGGGTAAAGAGGTTTAAATGAGTACAAAAAGACTTAAACATTTTATATACTGTTTTCTCACCTATACCCTCCCCCCTTGCTCCGGGAGCCGAGGCCGCCCCAATTACTAAGTCTTTTTGTACTCATATACCCCTCATTCACCCTATCTATCCAATGATTTCCCTAAAGATTAACTTTAATTTCCAAAGATTAACCGAGTATAAACCTCCCCGGAGCAACATACCTACCATTTTTTTTTCTTTTACCGCCATGAGAAACGTACCATCCCGTTCTTGATACATCGGTCTTGTACTTGATAGTCCACGACTTTACCACAAGGCTACCTGGTGATTGTTGGAAGCCTACACCAACTTATTCTCCATAACCTTACCATGTAATATTAATAACGAAAATTTCCACCTAAAACGAGATTCGAACCTTCGACTGTCGACACATGAGACCAACATCTTGACCACTAGACGACGAGATCTTCTACCGAACGGTTATGATTATTTAATTTACTTTATCCTTTTCAAGAAGTCCATAATGAAAAACGGTTTACCATCCTATTCTTGGTACTTCGATCTTGTACTTGGTAGTCCACGACTTTACCACAAGGCTAACTGGTAATTTTTGGAAACCCACACTAACTTATTCTTCATGATATACCATGTATTATTAATAACGAAAATTTTCACCTAAAACGTCTCAAACTAGACTCGAACTTTCGAAAGTCGGCACATGAGATTAACATCTTGACCACTAGACTGCGAGATCATGGGCGGAACGCCTTTACTTATTTAATTTATTTTATCCCTTTCCCGAAGGTTGTAATGAAAAAGAGTTAATTAAGCTGGGATTCGAAACATCGGTTTACCACATGGGAGATCATTGTCTTCGCCACTAGACTACAAGATCTTTTGCTTAAACGGCGATGGTTATTTAATTTTCTTAATTCTTTTCGTGAAGGACACAACGAAAAACAGGCATATTTGGATTTGAAACATCGACTTACCACTCGGAAGACTATTGTCTTCACCACTATACTACGAGTTTTTGTGCTGAACGGTTATAATTATTTAATTTACTTTATCCTTTCATGAAGCTCACAAGGAAAAACAGCTATACTAAGATTCGATCCATCGACGTACCACTTGGGACACCATTTTCTTCACCACTAGGCTACGAGATCTTTTACTGAACGGCTATGGTTATGTAATTTATATTTTATTCTTTTCTTGAAGAATATAATGAAGATCAGTTATACTAGGGTTTGATCTTTGGAGTTATCACTTGAGAGACCATTGTCTTGGCCACCAGACTGCCAGATCTTGGGCTGAATGGGTGTGGTTATTTCATTTACTTTACCGTTTTCTTGAAGGACATAATGAAAAATTGCTATACTAGGATTCGAACCATCGACTTACCGTTTGCGAGACCATTGTCTTCGCCACTAGACTAGGAGATCCTGTGCTGAACGGCTATTGTTATGTAATTTACTTTATTCTTTTCTTGAAGGACATAATGAAAAACAGCTATACCAGGGTTCGATCCATGGAGTTATCACTTGAGAGAACATTGTATTCGCAACATTGAAAAAGCCGTGAAAGCCTTTGAATATGCTAAAGAGATAGACGTCTTGGTAAATGATAAGTTTTCTTTAATTTTCCTCTAGCTCGCTTCCTTTATACTATTATTTAATACTGCTTTGGACGGTCTTGCCCCAACAAGAGAATGCATAAAAATGGCAGTCTGCATTGCAACACGCCCGACTCGACGCGTCAAATGTCCCCGCTCTCACACGTCATCAAATTCAATGAAACTGATTCGCCGTAGAAAACAAGGAATGCATGCTATTGCTTTTCACTGGACGAGAGCTTGAGTGATTTGCATGCTTTAGAAAAATTTCAAAAGAATTAATTCGGGCTTGTTTCTGTTAGCCTGTAAACGAGATTATGCATATTAAACCACCATTTCACATTTTTCACATATGCTAAAAAGAACGAGAAAGTCTATTCGTAATTCATCGTTGGAAGAAGTCACTGCAAGCTTAGCGTATCCTGCTTGGTTTTGAATACCAAATAGCTGTGCGAATTCAACACTTTCAATGTGGAATGTGGAAATCGATTTGCCAATAGACCTTGTTCATAATGACGTCAAACGCGGAAAGTCTGGTGTGAAAGTCGAAGTTTGTTTGGCTCGATAGTTTTGTGGAGCCAATCAAATTTCGTGTAACATCAGACTTTCCGCGTTTGACGTCATTATAAGAAAGGTCTATTGGCAAATCGATTTCCACATTAGAAATAGACGAAATAGCCTATATGCGACAAATAATTATTTTCATGTGAAAGGTTCCGTAAATGTTAATGTTCTGTCATGTCTCATTGCACCCATGCACTTGTCATCATACCTGTTTTAAACCTACTCCTAAACCCGTCACTCTTAATAGTAGCCCACGGCAAATCAGTGGAAAACTAGGCTTTTATCATTTGTTACATCTACCATATAGAAAGGTATTTGAAAGCTGTTGGGACACACCCGTCCATTCGAGAGCGATCCATAGGGGACGGAAAAGTGCTCGCACCATTAGACCACACAGAGTGTTTTAAAAGTGACCCGTTTGAAATCAAGCTTTTTTGACGTTCTCATACCTGACCACTCCTCTTTTTCTTCCTTCGTATGCCCAATATAGATTTAATACGTCTTTTAACAGATTTTATAATTAGTGGTGGACCAGGGCTGCGCGAGTAGCGTGACCGAAATTTCGATGGGGTAGAAATCTAATATTACATTTAGGACCTTGCAAATTTTAAATCAATAAACAAAACTATGTAAAACTCAAAGAAATTACGAGGTTGCACTTCTTTACACATCCAATGGACCCGAGTTACTTTCCACCATCTTGCAAGGCGTGCAAAAAGTCAAGGACAATCGTATGTAACTTAAGACTGTTTCCCGATACTCCACGCTGAAGTCTAAAATGCTTTCCAACTAGTAAGAAAACATTCGCAACCGATCATTTGACAAGTTTCCACCAATAAAAAAGGGTGATGAACTCCAAAAAACTCCTTCCTCGACTGAGTGATGCAAACAATTTACGCTCAGGTCCATGGAAAATCTATCCCAGGATTGTAAGATTTTCATGATATAACTTATTCACTGTCCTTATAAAATATTTAGGCTATTACTTGATAGACCACTATAATTACCATAATAACAAGAACAATGTTTTTTGATACGCCGAAAATCAAAACGTCCAAAATTCAAGACATTCGAAAGCAAGCAGAAGTACTCTTGAAATTCTGAACATTGTGACAGCAGGCTTAAAAACAAAACCATTTTTTCACTTTGATATTCTATGAATATAACCCTTGAAATACATACAACTCACACAAGCAGAAAGAAAACGTCTGGCCATGTAAATTTCGCGATTGAATTTTTAAAGTATTTCTATTCATCTTCCTATCCCTTTCTTTACATAACACAGTTACAACGTTGAACATATTTCATAGTTCATGCTAGATGTATATGAACACTATATCTGTTCATTCAAAACTATGCGATGCATGTATAGCTTAACGAGATATGATCTGAAAACTCGCCTTTATCGCCATCATGTTTCATTTTATAGAGACTCCAACGGAAGATGAATTTTGAAGCAAAGCATTATCTTGCAATAAAGTAATACCCAAAGTAGTTCATTTAACTCATGGCGCCATGGCGACGCTTCGAAATTCGCAGAAATTTTAAGTCCATATCTCGTTCTCGTGTAACGAATTCTGTCAATTCACTGTCTACAATTGAGCAATCTTGTCGCTGCTTGCACTAAAACTAGACATTTAATATACTAATTCTCGTGAATAATCAGAATTTCCTGGACTAGGCGAATCAAGGAATCACTTGCTCAGAGCACTAAATTTGTTGTCGACAGCAATATCCGTTCTTCGATTCAACGACTGTTCACTCACGGCACGCCCGCCATGCCTAACGTCCTCGAAGTTCGATGAAGATGACGATTCACTGGAGAGACAAAAATATCCATTCATTACAAGGGTTTACATGAGCTCGGTTACCCGGGAATTAACAAAGGGCGAGAAGATTTTGAAGCATTGAAACAAGTTTTTCTAAAACTAAACAAGCAAATGCTTTTGTTGGGAAGATTACACCACTGCCAAGTATCCACCTTTTTGGAACATCTCGTGTCTTTGCATCAGACTCTTTAGGGCCTATGATTACATATATATACGATGCCAGAGCTTTTTATGAATCAGATTTTTATGACATTTGAAGTAGTCTGGCAGATCCGTTTGCACTTTTGCCTGGAGCCCCTCTTGTACTGCACATCGATACAAGACCCCCTCCCAAACTCTGGAAAAACATCCATTCCTAAAATCTCAATTTTGCCTTTTGAAGAGAAATTAATGAACCCGAATATTTAATCTTTATAGTTTAGCTTACTTTTTGCTGGAAGCAGTGGAAGCTTGAAGAGTTGGAAATGCAATTTCGCTCGCAATTTCAGGAGGTCTGCGAGGGTCTCTTTCTCTTGCACCCGATCTGTATTTCCATGACTGATCTCTGCCTTCTGCTTGATTTGCCATGGCTCTCCTCATTGATGGAGGGATATATGCTCCTTTGCCAACTTCTTTCTTCGGTTCTTGTTTTACTTCTGGGGCGGAGGCTGCTACACAAATAAAATATTTCCAGACTTAGAATCGGATTGTATGTAGCTAAAGTATTCAAACCCATTCCGAAACAATTTCATACGACAGAAAGGGAAATCCCAGTCAACAATTTGTCACTAACTACTACTGTAAAATTGCTCTCAACGGCCAATCATAGCTTTTATGTTATGCTATGAAGTGCATAGGTGAATGTACATAAAATAGTATAAAACACATATGCTATTATTCTGAGCGAAACCAGCCACTAAGCTAACATAGTTTTGTGGTAGCCTTCCCCACAAAAACGGTCAAACAATGTTACTATTTATATAAGCAACAGACTTGACAATGGCGGGAATTGGCCCTGCAAACTTTAGTTTGCTACATACTGGTAAAATTACAAGATGTCAAAAATGCTATACACGAGGCAACTCATGTATGCAAAAACATGTACACAAATCATTCATTACCACTTACCAGGAACAGTTGGCTGCAGGTTCACTTGCCAAACATTGCTTGATTTATCCTTTCTTTCTGTACAGTCTAGAAATACAATAAGGAAAAGTTTGAAAATAATGTATTTCTATTCATCACTCTTTGCAGAACATGCATGTATAATGTACATGTGCAATATGTGTAGGCATGCTTTAAGAAAGCAAGAGTCTTGCATCAGCATCTTGTGAAACACAACTTTACTGCAATGTAGCACCCTGCCAAGTTATATACAAATAATACAATCCATTTATCAGCACACCCGCTGGTACAGGAGAAAGTTAAATAGAACTTTGATATCATATTTTTTTAATATTGACCAGAAGGCTTAATTGACAACAAATTTTATTCAATTGTAACAACGTTTCGGAATTTACTCCATTATCAGGTTACATTTAAGCATAGCTTTGAAAGAGGGAATGAAATATTCAATGTCAAGAGTAACCTGATGCTGAAGTAAACTCCAAAACATTGTTACAATTTAATAAAATTTGTTATTAAGAAAGCCTTCTAGTCATTATTAAAAAAATATTACTATATCAAAGTTCTATTTAACTTTTCCTGTACCAGTGGGTGTGCTGATAACTGGATTGTATATAACTTGGCAGGGTGCTACATTGAAACTATCATTACATTTAAATGAGGCTTAGAGAAAGCTTGTTTCTAAACTTTGATACAATAAATATTTGGTAACTTATGTATCTACCTTCATCATATTCTTCAGCATCCTCTGGTTTATCATCATTATCTTCATCAACTTTATCCCTGGAATAATACAGTATCATATATAAGGCATTTGAAAGATGAACTATTCAGAGTATTTTAGGTGCAGTAAAAATTAGCTATGGAAATTGATGTGAAGTCTGTGTACTAAAACCTGCCACTGTTACACTGTATATCTCTGCTGTACACCATCATGAGTATACATAGGTCTTGTCAACTTTAATGATAGCCCTGGCAATTTTGATAATTTTTGTAGGGGGTTGGGGGATATAACCGTCAATATTTCCAAGTTTGGCAGCAGTTCGGTGAATGTCTTTTGTCTCTGAATGGCAATTCCTCTTTAAAGATGCATTGGCACAATATATTCTTATGTACAGCCGTACAGGTATTTACTTGTTGTTAATGCCTTTGATAACAATTAAGTTGTTAACTGAGTTGTTCTTACATTAATCTCTTGACTCTGCTGATGATAAGTGATTGAAATTCAAGAAAACATTATTAATTTTAGCCACAATAAGATATCCATGCAACCATTTCTTTTAATATAAAATATTTGACTAATAGGCAAATTGACATAGTACATTAGTTTAACTACTCAGTATAACACTACAGATTTTTCTGAAAATAATTCACATAATAATCTTCAGGAGTGACAAGAAAAAAAATTAATGGCAGCAAATAAATGCTGCCCATAATTTCATCTTCAGGTGTATTTTTGGCAGCAATTGATTTTTGTGAGGCTGTGATGATTTTTAAGAATAAAGCTATTAGATGCATGCAATAGGAAAAAACTCAGATCTATTAGAAACTGAATGGTAATGAATGTGGAATTATCCTTTTATCTTGTTTTCTTAGAGATATAAAAATGTATTCACACCAATTACAGCACCTATTGCTGAACTGTTTCTGCTAGGTAATTGAATCAATGAGAACAATATATATGTATATACCATCAAAATTTTTGAACAACTATGTATATATCATTAGACAAGAATGTATTTAGTTACCTTATTTGTAAGGATTGTACTTTTAGACCGGAGTAATCTTTTTCTTTTGGTTCATTGAAGTCCTCCCATTCCTCTTCATTCTAGAAAATTTAAATATGACTTATTGCTCATAAAAATGATAATTGAACATATTAAGAACTAGTTAAAAAACTATATTACAGTAACTTGGGTTTGTAACAGGTTTTTAGCCAGCCTACAATCCAGTAATCTTGCCGAATAACAGGTCAAAATACAGTTCTTGGTCCATGCAGTTGTGAAACAATATCAATTGGTAAAATAAAACCTGTTAAAAAATAAAACCTGTAAAAAATGTTATTTACTGCATTTTGGAGCTGTTTTTAAAACTTTGAATACTTATATATTCAGCTTCAAAATGAGTATGCTTTTTTGTACAGATGCAATCAACAAATTGATAAACTGATAAAGAAATGTTACAATAGACTGTTCAAGTGTAATATGCATTCAGGCAGAACTATCTAACAGTAATTTGGCCCAGAGGGGGACTGTAGTATCATGAGTATCAATATATTCCATGTCCAAAAGGGCAACTGTGATGATGTGGCATTACCTTTGTACCAATCACCAAGATATTTTACGTAATTACCAGGGGCATTTTACTCACTGTAATTCCAGGCAAACAATAGTTGTTTTACAAGCCAAATTAAAGATCTTGACACTTTGATCAGCTTGCAGACCCTGCATAAAACCTGTTTAGATAGGTTTATACTAAATAGTATAAACCTATCTAAATAGTAGTTCTAATTGACTGCCATAATAGCAAGTTGTCCATAATATAAGTGCTAAACATTCACCGTGGCCCATTGACTAGTTCCTAAGATTTGTATTATGAGTGAGAGAAAATCGGAGTAATTTAAGAAATTCCTGGAGGCAATCAACTTCATATTACATGAGGTTAGGATTCTCACAATTTTGAATCATCTCTCACAACTTTAAAGTAATCAAGCTCATGATTTAGTGCATCCTTAGTCGTCATAACAGTTCTACTTATGCTGACCTGTGTGTTGGAAAGCTGACTCGCAGTTGGCTTTTGTTCTTTGGTTTGTTCATTCACTGGCTTTTGCGATTTCTCAACCTGCTTGGTAATGGACGAAGTTGTCGTAAACTTCCCCTTGGTTTTCGACTTTCCTTTCTTTCCTTTGTCTTTCTTAGCAAAGAAATCGTCTAAGGACTTGTCTTCGCGCTCCATGTTTTCTCACGAACAAGATGGGAAGGCCAAAAAGGCCAAAAGGGAAAAAGAACTTCGATCAGGCAAGTACAAATGTTTTTCTTCTTGCCAGAAATAATTTTTTTAATGATGACCATGCGGTCTTTGCTGCCCCTGGTTGCCCCCCGTATTCCTATGTTTTCCCGCATTATCACCTCATCACCACAAAAGATTGGCGGTTGGCCACCTGCCTAAAAATGTCCAATAGCAATTCCTATTATATATCAGTTCACTGTTATATATACGTTTATCCAGTGCACAAAGTCAAAAAATTGTTCTACAAATGCAATTTAGTTGGAGGGATTTGTAGTAACCGATTTATTGAATAGTCAATTACTTTACACCCACTCAATCTTTCTCTAGGTAGTATACATATATTACAACTCTCCAACATGCAAGACAACTAATGCTCGCACCAATGGTGCTCGCTAATAGTTCACAAGTCAGTTCCTGCTGTATTTGGGCTTCCAGTTCACCACAAGTCTACAACAGAACCCTTAGTACCACAATATTTAAATAAAATATCATTGAAATCCTGTTTAAAGTGCCTAGTAGCGCTGCACGACGATACTGATAACACAGTTGGACACGAATGAAGAAATGATGAACAGAGTAACACAAAAGAAGGAAGATTACTTGGAAGGGGATGGTGGTCTCGAAGACCTTGTGCTGTTCACATATGTAAATATTGCAGATTCAAGAAGATCAGCTCTTCGGATTTCGTCCTCGCGTCGTCTTTTGAGATCAGTTTCTCTTGTTTGTAACCTTTCTTCAAGGGACTCGATTTCACGATCCTTCTCCGCAATCAATTCCTTTTGTTTTCTGCCATTCTCTTTTATGTTCAGCTCTAGGTTCGACATTTGATCTCTTAGACTATCTTGTACCTTTTTTCTGATTCAAGGTCCATCTTTAAGAGACCTATTTCAGTTTTTTGGTTGCTTTCCTTTCGATGCATTTCTCTGGTTGCAGCGTCTGTCTCCTCTTTAAGTTCAGTCAACATTTTTTCTTTCAGGCTTAGTTCCCTTTGCAATTCTGAGATTTGGCTGAGATACTTGCTAATTTGAATGTGCTGTTCATCTCTTGAGGTTTGCAAAGCGCTTATCCTGTCTTCGTATTGTTTGGATTTTACAAGATCTTCATGTTTGTGTTGGGTTTTCAAGTTGAACACATCTTCTTCGGCTTTTAATTTGTTTGACATTATCTCAGACTTGAGTTGACTGATCTTCTCTTCAGCTTCCATCTTCTCTTTCTCTAGATCTTCGATTTTGCCTTTCATTATCGATTCTTTTTCTTTGAAATTCGAGTGTAAATGTTTCACTTCACTGGCGTGTTCGCCGTTGGCGTATGCAACGGACTCCTCGTGCTTTGAGACCATCTCTTTAAGTTTCGTTAATTGTTCAACATTTATTCTAGCGATATCATTTTCCAACCCACCCACCACGTTTTGTAATTCTTCTTTTTTTGCTTCTAATTCAATAACATTTCGCTCCAGTTTTGAACGGCTTTCCTTCAAAAGATGAACATCATTTTCTAGCTGTTCTCTTTTTGCTTTCTCTGCATATAACTCGTTTTTCAATTCGTTTATCAAGTCATTCAAACTCAAATTTTCCCGGTTTCTCGTCTTCAGTTCGCTTTTTGTTGATTGCAGTTCCTTGCTGATCTCGTCAGCAGAAGCTTTATTCTTGTCCAGCGATTCTTTGAGCCGCTTGATTTTGCTATGATTTGATTTCGAAAGCTCTTCATTGACTCTGCTTTGCTCTTCTAGTTTATCTTGCAACATGGAAACCTATAAGATATTTTTCAAAATTGTAAAGTAACAGTCTTCAAAAGAAAGGAATCTGTACAACATATGCTGCATATATTCTGTTTGTATTAATTCTTACAGTCCCCGAAAGCATTTGTTCTTGTGTGTCCGATATCATACAGACGGTCTTTGCTCATGCAACTAATTTCATATTATAAGGTTTGCAAATAAAACTATTATCAAAACTACTGAAACAATAACGATTGAAAAACGAAATTCAGCAGAGATTTCCCTCATTTGCCTGATTCATTGTGGCTTTTATTTTAAAAGCGACGAATTCGTTGCCTTCATTTTGTTACTTTTCACGCAACTAATTCAAAAGACGATAAAGTTAATGCTCTGCCTTTAAATGACGAACTAATTATATTTATGGCAAAATTAATCCTTGCAGATAATTTGGGGGTAAAAGCAGTGATCTACAGCAGTGATCCGTAGTGTATGTACCTGCATTGTATTTTCAAGTTCAATCTTTTCAATTGTTCGAATCATTTTCTCTGTTCTTGCATTTTCCTTATTTCGTGCTGTTTCTCGTTCGCCATTTAACTTGATGGCAACACCAATTGCTTTGAGAATGTCTTGAGGAACATTGTTACCTAATGAACGAACATTAGTAAAGGAAAATTGCATGGTTACACTCAATCAACCATTAGTTAACCCAATTAACTTTATATTTTGTCCATGGGATTTTTTGGAAAATATTAGATCATGTTCAAATATATTTGTGTAGTTAATCATTGCAATATTTATTGCACTGCTATTGATAAGTGCATGAGGGAAAAATATTAATTTTTTTTCAGTTTTCAAGTATTATTTCTCTCACAGTTTCCAAATCTCTTTTTACCAGTCTGGATATATTGATCGAGGTTCATTTTGAATTACATAATTCAATTAAAAAACAAAGTTACACAATATACAATCATTAACACTGGATGTAATCACTCTTTAGTAGGCCCATGAGGAAGGAAGGGGGTAGGGGTTCATTCTTTGTGATGCGCCTAATACCTCAAGTAATCTTGCATATGACGAGAAGTTAGTAATTATCTGTACTAGCCAAACTATGCAACTACCAAGTCCATTACCTAGATGTTCACAACATTATCTAATGCAGTGATACCATTTGATCATGGGGCATGTTCTTCAAAAAATTTTAAATTGTAGGTAATTTTAGCAATATGTGGGACAAGCCCATGATTAGGGACATTAGGTATGTAATGGCTTGTTTAAAGGAATAATTGTAGGTGCATGTGATTAAACCTTGAATTTTTAGATGAAAACTTATATGCATAGTTTTAGATCCTAACAAGCAGAGTTACACATCCAACTTCAAGCTCACTGGCAAGCAATTTGTGACTTTCTCCAATCGAGCTACTAAGTCCGGTTGCTAAGTGTTAAAGCCATGCTAAGCATCAACAGCTGAGGTAATACTATACACAATTATGAATTGCAAAAAATGGATGAAGATATTTTCGTAGAAACTTATGATACGATATATTTAAGTACTCAATCTGAATGTTTAATATCTACCTTGTAACTCTAACAATGTTAGGGATTTATTATACTGCAGGGCAGTTAAAAATGCACGTCCTCCAAGTAAGCCAGCATTATTCCAACGCAAATCCAATGCTTTAAGAGTTGAATTTCTCTTGAGACATGAAGCCAACTCTGTCGCCCCTTCATGGGATATTTGATTATTTCTCAAATCGAGTAACACTACAGTTTGATTGACAGCCAACCCTTCGGCTATGGCTCCAACACCGGTGCCCCACAGACCCAGAGAATTCCAGTCCAAACGCAGGCAGCGAAGCGATAGGTTTTTCTTCAGGAAAATGCCAACAGCCTCAGCGCCAGGACAACGTAAGTTGTTGCCTTTTAGGTCGATCGTTTCAAGTGAACGACTGCGAAGCAAACCATATAAAAGCATCTTGGAAGCATCTTCACTCAGTAAACAGTCGTTAAAACGAACTTCTTTAAAATATGTATCGTACGATAGCGTTTTAGCGAGTGCATTGCAGTCGTCCGGAGTAAAGTTATAAGATGATAGGTCAAGTATCCTTCCATCGTCTTCAGCAGGACGCTGCAGTTGAGATAACACACATTCCAATGGAGTAACAACACACTCTTTGCACACTCGAAGATAGCGTTTATAAAACTCCTCCATATTCTTTAACTTCGAAATCCTGCTTCGATTATCACGCAGACCAAAGACAAACGTTCAAAATCAGCATATTCAAATAATTATTAAACTTTGTTTACAACGAACATTTTGACCACCAGCAACTGAGCAACAAGGCGAGCAGGCGAGTGAGGCAACTCAGGCAACACACATGCACTATTTTACATCCCTCATAATGACATTGAAATTCCACACGTGGCCTCGTTGGCAAAATTGTAAATTTTAACCAATCAAATAATTTAAACCATTTTAGTTAGTATGATAGGCCATTCGTTTCAAAAATGGTCAAATATACATGGGCTAAAATTAAAAAACAAACCCATATTTTTATCACTTATCATTTTTAACGCCTACGCGTATCGTATACACGCGTCTTTTTTTACGCGAATATGCATGTCGTCCTCGATACACGCAATTTATGAAACAGGAGTATAGGCGTAATAAATGCGCGTATACACGCGTACTAAATACACGCTAAAACATTTTCTTACTTCAGATGGAAATATGGTAGATATATATATAGTATATAAATAATTATATAGATATATAGATACGGTACTAAGTTTCCAAGAATTCCTGTTTTTCATGAATGCCGTGCCTATAAATTATGACATGACATTTCAATGTCATAAATTATGACATTTCGATTTTGCTTGTCTATAATATTTATGGGTAGGCTACTTGATCCATGGGGTTAGGGGCGTTGATTCATTTCGGAAATACCTACATAACAATGCTATAGTTTAGACGAACGAGTTCAAATCCTTCGCAGGAATTTTCCAAATTCAGGAATAGCTAAATGTTCAACCAAAAACGGTTTGGGAAAGTTTGGCGGAAAATGATCCAGTAGGAGTTCCATTTAGGTGTCTAAACATGGTAAGACGTGTTTACAGTGTTCCTTTACCAAATTCTCTTTGGCGTATAGACAGACGGGGCTTCATGAGTTTCCTACGATGGTAATTCGCGGCTCATTTAGGATTAGATGGATTTTAACGGCTAATTTATTATTTTCTTTGCCTAACTAACAAATGTGCATCTGTTGTACGGTTGTTAGTTGAGCAAACATGCATGAATGGCCTTCCAGGATGAGATCAGACAAAGGATGCGAGGCCTAAGATTATAGGGGAAGCTATACATTGCTGGTGTTTCAGTTCATAATGATTTGATTAAGAGAATAAAGAGACGATTTTATCGGTGTTTCCCACTTTTTCTACACACGTTTCCACACAGTGGAAAAGAATGAGATACTGGATCCAAAAAGTACAGTCGATCTGTTTTCAGCGTTGTCAACTGTAATACTGTAGAAATCCCAAGTTAGCCTCCGTAATATTCCGAGATTTCCTTAAAAATCCAGATAAACAAGAAATCTAAATATCTAGCTGAAAAGAGCAATAAAGTAAGTACGATCGGACTGAAAACTAGATTTGCGATACAGGGACGCCCTTGCCTTTTCCCAGCAGGGGCTGTTGTCTACCTGGGCAATTATTTATTGTTTTCGCATTCCGGTTTGTGTAGACAGTCGAATTACAGGACTTACAGGGTAGAAAGACCAAACAGAAAGGTAAGCGCTTTCTTTTGATGTTGCCTAGAATCCAAAAAGACAAAGAGTATTGATATACGATACCCATATACGCTAGTTTGCATGGTATATATAATAATACTATCGTTATTTTGCACTTCCGCCTTACATATATATCGCCTCGTGTGACGAGTCTCCATTTCTGAACTCATATTTTCATCTAAATGCATGGCATGGTAAGTAATGTTGATTATGTCTTGCATGATTTGCGTTATAACCACAAAATTATGGCGATAATGCTCAGATAGAGCCGGTGAAATGATTAAGAATGACTGAATCGAATGAGTCCGCATACATGTTGCGAATTTAGTGCTACATAACCCGTCGACATAGCCTATCAGCTGTCAATTATTGTGATTTGAACTGTGGCACCAAAACCAACCACGTGCACAGTGTGCCCCGAATGCAGGAATGGTAAAAGTATTAAGGTGAAGGCAATGAAGGTAGAAGCATCGAGATTTAAAAATTGATATTCCGCAACATTGTCATGATTGTTGCACTCTTCGGCAACTTCGCATTGATTGCATGCCTATGATATATCATGCTATATTATGCTGCGGAAATGCGAATTTGCATAGATATGGGCCTTTATATATATAAAAGCTCCTTGATTGAGATAATACGTATATATATTTTTACTTGCCAATTTTAAGCGTGTATATAACGATACGTTGTGTATCAACAGTCGGTCGATGCACCAATGAACGCACAAAAAAGATAACGCTTTTCGAATTCATCATTTCTATACATTGAAAAACAGCTTTAAAGAATAACAGTAAGAGATGATGATTTCCACTACTTATATAAAAATATAGTTTAAAATCCTGCCGTTAGGAAATATGTTTTCGGAAGGATACAAAAATACAACTTTTTCAACTATCGCGTTAACCTCCGAAACATGCAGGAGTAAAGTGAAATTTAGCTTTCGTTAATAATCAGAGAGAAACTTGTTTGAAAAAATGTTTGTTTAGATTGAATACGCCTTCAACACGTACTAATGGCCACTGCAGGTGCAGTCAGCACCATTTCTGATGATGAACGACGATGGGTGATCGTTGGTATATGTCTAAACAAAGTTCTCACTCCATTATTGAGAGATGTTCTTGGAAATGAAATACCAATGTGGTACCAAAGCCTACTCCCACCTCCTCACGAGATCGATAAACAGATATTCGGAAGACATAAGAAGAATTTGGCACCTTCAACATTGAAATTAAATTATGAAAGCATCAACAACAATCATACAAACCACAAGTCGTTTGTTAGTAAATATGATTATGCTGTAAAAGATGCAGTATCTCTAGCGAAGTTGTTTGTAAAACCATTCATGGCTAACTTTAGTGGTTTTGATGACACTATGGATACGTCTGCAGCTTTGTCACTCGTCGCTGAGGCTCAACCTTTTCACGCTTCTGGGGCTGGGGGTACGGCGAAAAAAATAAGATCAGATGTCAGAAATGAGTGGGCACATTGTGATTTTGCACACTGGACAGACGTCGTTTACCAAGCAGCTCTAAAAGATATGGAGACATTAATAAATCAACTCAACCTCACACATGAAGAGCAAAAGAAAACGCTTGACGACCTGAATGGATGGAAAAAGAAAGGTACTATATTTGATTCTTGCCGATAAATTCAAAGATCAATGTAAATTTCTTGTTTCATGCATGATGCTGACTTTTAGTGAGGAATGATATATGTTTACGATTAGCAGATATTGAATTGTTTTTAGTAATTTTCAACTTTATACTGATGAAAAATACCTACCATAACATTTGCTATGGCTGCCAATATTTCGTGCTAAGAGATTAAAGAGAAGATTCCGCAGATACATCAGGCATATTTATTTCAGATTATTTCTTACTAGTGTTTATTTTATAAAGGTTTAGACCTGTGTTTTGGTCAGCCTGTTGATTCTGAACTCCTAAAAGTTGTGAAAACAGAAGTTGCTGAACTACGTGACTCTATGAAAGATTGGAAAAGGGATGCAGAGTTTGAGCAGGTACATTCATGTATAAATGGTGAATAACAATTAATTGAATAATCTATTTGTTGGAAAAAGTAAAATACTTCACCTGAACAAAACAATTTGGTTTGAAACTATTTATTAAGTGCACATGCAATAATTTTATACACTGGAGCTCGTACATTTGCAGGAAAAAAAACGTTTACTCTATTTGGCTATCAGCCAGACTGCCAGAGCTAGCTTTAACTATAAAGGGTCTTCAAATAACCTTGCATGGAGTTTGTATATTGCTAACTATCAAAGTAAAGTGGTGTTCATATTTTCTACTCCCGGTTGGAACTGTATAGAACTATAAAATCGACAAGATAAAATGAGCACAACTCGCTCTTTCGATCGACCATTTATTTCCCCCGCCCAACTATTGCATGACTTAGAAAGCGAAGTTTTAATACGGTTTAAAAAATTTTTATTTAATTTTAAACGATTTTTTTTCCTTTCCCTCCTAAATTATACAGAGTAAACTTTCAAATGCGCTGGAGGGTATAGAGAAATCGTTCACGCAGGTAATCCACAAGTTGAAAAAAGATGTTGAGCAATTGAAAGTAGGACAGCTCGTATTGTACGACAGTTTCTCACGAAAACACGAAGAGCCGCCATGTCTTTTCATGGCACCTAAGCAAAGTGTGTGGTTTAGTGGTCGAGAATCTGAACTGACTTCTCTTCGAGACATATTAGACAACGAAAGCGGAAGTATCGACGAAAAAGTAACCGTGATAGCTATATCTGGCCTGGGAGGTAGCGGAAAAACAAGCCTTGCAGGAGAGTATATATATAAATGGAGGGACTATTACAAAGGAGGGGTGTTTTGGATTTCCGGACAAGATGATGTCAAGTTAAAAGCATCATTTGATGACATAGCAGCGCAGTTCAACACCCTGGACAGCGACTCCGTTGATGCTACATTGTCCAAAACCTTGGCAGTGTTTTCGCGAATTTCAAGATCTTGGCTGATGATCATTGATGATATGGATGGGCCTAGTCTTTCACAAAACTTACTCAAGCTGATATCTGGATCTTGGCAAGCAAACATCAATGGGTTTGGCCATATCATCATAACAACACGGAGAACACCGCGAGAGTTAAATGAAGATATTTCAGGTTTTAAAGAATCAAGGTGTCTCCAACTCGATAGTTTTGGGTGCGACGAAGCGAAGAATTTTGTGTTCAAAAGGACTGGGATTAGTCGCGATGAGCAAGCAGGTTAGTAACAATGGTGTTGTAACAACAATTTAGAATTTGGTCTGAGACGAATATGATTGCTTTTTGAGAAACAATTATGCGACCTCTTAGGAAGTTATCGCATGCATGTACATCCATGCCTGGTGGCAATTCCATATAATGCAAATTCCATTGTTCAAATGGTATTTCATCAAATATAGTTAAGGAAATTCCAAAATACAAAAATCAATTTTCTAATGCTGTATACTTTCTATGACCTTAAGAATACCGGTCTCTTGTGAGAAATAGTTAGTCGATTTAGCATGAGGAGGTGAATGTCGAAGACGTTAGTAATCATTATGAATTATCTTCACTGTAGACAACACCGCAGATCTTCTATATCAAAATCTTGGTGGTTTACCATTGGCTTTAGAGCAAGCTTGTGCTTATATCGTTTCACTTAGGTGCACCTTGCCTGACTATTTAGAAGCCTACGAGAAGCAATCTCTGCATCTTCTCAGCAAGAAAACGGCAAGCACTCCTTTTGGAACATCGCCAGAACGATTAGCTGTCCATACGACATGGATTCTTAACTTTGAACATATTCGAAAGGATGTAAACGGGATTTTCGCCATCCGTTTTTTGAACGCTTCTGCGTTTTTTGATCGCAACGAAATTCAAAAAGACCTCATTAACGTTGGCGAACCTCGTGTTGACGACAAAGCATATTGTGATCACGTGAGCTCTTCTTTAGGGCCACTTGAAGTCCTAAAACTCTTGACTGACTTTTCTTTCTTTAAGAAAACTCACGACTCTTCACTCACTGTTCATCGCTTAGTCCAAGAGGTCATTCGAGAAAGTTTGACTTTGGACGCTAAAGTTGAGAGCATTGTTGACGCAGCCCGAGTGCTGCGTTTTGCCTTCTTAAAGTGCCCATCTCCAGACAGCATATCAGAAAGCGTATTAACTGAAAAAGGCGATCGGTCTTCGCTTCATTCAATTGATTCTTCCTGTTTCTATAAGTGGCATAAGTTGTGTTTACATGCGTACGAAATTAAAAGTAATCTCGAACTTCTTCTAAAAGACGTCTCGAATGTTAGAGGGAAAACGGTTTTTCTCCCAGAGGTAGCGAGAGCTGTTTACGAATGTGCCTTGCATTTGAATGTGAATAACTCAAGTAGTCAGGCAAAAGCTGCTGGCGATTTTGCTAATCGGATTCTTGACTGGAATCGCAATGAGATCAGGAAGCAGGATTTGAAAGTAGTATTTCCACATAGGTTCCCCCTGTTAGAGCCTCTTCGCAGACGCATACAATATTCTTGTAAGGCACCCTCTGAGAAAGACGACCTCAGTATTCCAAACACCTCAGCTAACGATTTCACGAATTCTGAAATTGAAACCCTACGTTTAAAAGGTAATTATTTATTCAAGAAAAGCAATTTCGAAGAGGCTATAAAGCTATACTCTTCATGTATTGACAAAAGCAAAGAAATAAATTCCTTCGACCCTAGGTTATTTAGTAATCGTGCTTCTGCCTATCTTAGATTAGAGCAATATGAAAATGCCCTAAGCGATGCGGAGGAATACATTAAGCATTCTCCTGATTGTTGGAAAGGTCACGCTAGACAAGCCTTGGCTCTCTTCGGGTTGGGTCAAAAGTGGGATGCAATGTGTGCAGCAGCTGTAGCGTTTTATCATGATCGCAACATATTCGACGAATATAAGCCATTTAAAATTTCATTTCCTAAATTGAAAGAATCCATTCATATTTGTAATGAGGCCTCGGCATTAGCTTCTGCGTGTTTTCACTTGCCACGTGGGGGTTATTCGGGCATGCCTGAGAAAATTATTGTTCTCGAGTCTGGAGAGTATTCTCTTTCTTTAAAATTGCATTTAGATAATATCATTCTTGTTGGCGTTGGAGGTGATGTTCAAATATCATTTCTGGATAGATTTGGGTTGTCTAATTCTGGTAACTTTATGGCCGTTAACATTTCCTTTATATTTAAATATGGAAGCTGGGTAACTAAACCCAACTCGTTAGTTAGGGTTTGTAATTGCTCTATTACTAGTGAAAACGATCATTGTGCTTTTGTGTCATCAGGTGATCTTTTTGTCAAAAAATCTTGCTTTTCTAATTGCCAAAATGACGCTTTGCGTGTTATTCATGGAAGAGCCCGGATTGTGGATTCTGTATTCTCAGCAAATAATTCTGATGGATTGAAGGTTAACGGTGAAAAGGGAAGTACGTATACGACGCTTGAGAGCTGCAAACTTTACGGAAACGAAATTGGTGTGAATGTTGATTTTGGTACGTGTGATGTCAATGGATGTCAAATGTATGACAACAAGAAATTCGGTGTGGCTGTGGGGAAAGGCGGGAAACTAACGCTAACGCGAAATGAAATATTCCACAATGATCGGGATGGAGTTTACCTTGAAAAATCATCAGCAAAGATTGAGGAAAATGAAATCTTTCAGAACGGTTGGTTTGGAATTTCAATTATAGCGCGAAACGACGAGTCATCGTATGTTGTTTCTGACAATAAAATCAGCCGAAACAAATGTGGTGGCATTCATGCTACACCTACATCAAAGTTACAACCGCCGTCGGTTATCAAATCTAATTGGATATCTGGTAACGAAGGGCCAGGCATTGACCAAACGAAGTCATATCCTGATTCAATAAATAGTCCACCGTCCACGCTCCCAAATGACGAAAACTTGCAAGAAGCAAAATGTGCCGATAACATACTTAAAAACAATATTGAAGATGGAGAACCACCACCCTTACAGGTTCTTCCTCACGTTTGTTCGTTCTGTCATAAAAATGATAAATTGAAGAAATGTACGAGATGCTATATTTCTGGATACTGCAATCCAAAATGCCAGAGAGGTGATTGGGAGCATCATAAGAAAAATTGCGCTAAAGTTTTAGATAAATACACCGTTTTAGTGAAAGTCCTCCCATTGTCAATCTGTTTAATCGGGGACAAGAGAGTTTTGCCGGATTTCAGTGAAATGAAAGCTCCATACGATTGGCTGGAACCAAGTGGTCCAGAATACGAAAGGGCACCGGAGTTTGGTAAACGTTTCATTGTTAAAGTGCAAGCCTGCGATAGTTGGAGGAAATCGAATGAAGGAGGTACTATGCTCGCAATGGAAGATCGTAGCCAAACCATTAACGGAGATCTTGATATGAACGACGAACAATGCCTTCGAATTTACAATCTTGTAAGAGAATGCGGTTCAAACTGTAACAGTTATGGATGGAAGAAAAAGTTTCTTTGGGCTTTGCTTGCGAAGGAAAATAAAGTTCGTGTATTTACCAGTGATTTTCCACCTTACCAGTTTTGGTAGCAATTGTAAAAGTTTTAACTTTTACTCATTTACATTGTAACTATCATAAAATAAATAAAATTTTATTACGTATATGAGTGGGATATTATATTTTGTATTAACCCGGCGAAATCTGCTTAGCGATTTTAATCCGGCGCCCGGGAATGCAATGTGAAAGTGAAATTGTCTGCAATCATTTCATGGACGTTAGACTTTTTTGTAAGTTATGCGCATGCACGAGTTGAAAAAAAAATTGAAACCGGTAAATGTAGCATACTTGCTATTGGCCAAACCATATTTTGGGCGTATGAATCCAAAAGTAAACAAACTAAGCCTTTGTTTTTTCATATTTAGATCGTTTGTATGTTTTCTTGTAGGAGTAGGGTTCAAATCATTGAAATTGACATGTTAAAACGTGCTACTAGGAGCGCCTAGTGGGGGAGGTGATGGTGTCCCTAAAATACTACAGGAAAAGAATTACACTTTCATTGACAGTATAATTATAATGCTCTTTCTTCAAAAAAGATTGTAAGAACTGAAAAATTCTTGTTTCTTTTATAGTTCACGGAGTATGCTAATACATTTACTATCGTGAAAATTTCATATTTCGGAATTTCAACGCAAAACGAAGTAAACTCAAAATTTCGCCACCATGCAAGAGTCGCTAGTGTTTTTTAAAACATTATTCGATCTAAACTAATTTTATCTCGAATATAACTTATAAGCTCGAATATAATCAGGTTCCAGTCCGTGAAGTGCTTCAGTTAAAAAAAATTAGAAGAATTTAAAGTCAATCCTGAACTTCATTGGGAGTCAATGTAGGTCCTCGACGGCTGAGGTTAATTAATATGACCAAATCGAGGAATATTACATCTCTGCTGCATTTTGTATCCGTTGGAATTTTTCGGTTGAGTCTAGACGTTACAATAGTCTAGCCATGCATGCAGCTTCTGGTTTATATGAGTTGTTCAGTATTGAAGCAGTTTCGCACATGTTTAAAAAACTGAAGAATGCTAAATGCTGCCCTTACAAGATCTGCTGGTATTTTTCAGCAGCTTGCATGTCTCGCAGAGCTGTTTCTGGACGGCAAATTGCTTTAAACGTTGCACGAAGTAGAAATCAGTTCTACATCACGCAAGGATTTTGCCTGGCCATTTTCATATATTTCGGTCCAAGCTACCAATGAATAACACGGTAGTACTTTATTTTAAAAAAGAAATATTTTGAAATGTATATAATTATATAGGTGGTTGCAAAATATATCGAAATCCTCTCGGTATACCACCCTGTTGAATTGTACTTTTTTATTATGAGATGGTATTTTAAGAATGAGGAATTTTAAAACATCCATGCATCAAGAATTCGAATTGTATGCAAGGGCGTAGGAAGCATCCAAAGGTTGGGGGGGCACCAGCTTCTAGGGGCACTTTTGCTTAATAAAAATGCCGGTTAAAATGGTTAATAAAAATATATATATAGGGAAGGTTTGATTCAGGGACCGCCGACCGCAGAGCATTTTTCGTATTTCTTGGGCTTCGTACTGCTAGAGGGGTCTGGGGGCATGCTCCCCCGAGAAAATTTTGAGATATAGGCCTCTGAAATGGCCGCAAATCCCTCTCAATTTAAGGATTATTGGGAAATAGTAGATACTTTTTTGTTTCTTTTCGCTTCCAAAAAGGGCACTTTTGGTCCCTTGAAAAATCTTGGGGGGGCACGTGCCCCCAGTGCCCCCCCCTTCCTACGCCACTGATTGTATGGATGGCTGGCTAGCAGCTGGCTGCGAAATATATTCTGCCTATATAAATATGCATATTTTGATTTCCGGTTTTGTCTTGGCTGTGCGGTGGAATGGCCAACGAGAAAAAGTACATGAAAATAATTTAGTAAGATCTCATTTTCAGCATTGTTATGAACTTGAGACACCAAAAGAACATGAATACGTTTTATATTTCATGATTTGTATCCGTATAAATGTATTATTAAAGACGTCATTTCACCCTTTCGATTTTTGTACTTCCGCGTTACTACACTGATCATGACATTATGTTCTCATACAACTGGTAAGTAATATTGATTATGTCTTGCTTGCTTCGTGCGTATTATAACACTTGCATGGAAAGAGCGAAATGGTGACGGATAAGTCAACAGCATTTATACAAATTTGGGCAACGCGTTGTACTGCCTATAACACGTCGCCTAGCATGCATGCAGGTATATCTATAATGTTTGAGATTTGAGTTCCTTAAAACCATTGACATTGACAGAGTGCTCGATGTAAGATAAACAGGTTTAGAAACTAAAGTGAAACATGAAAATGGAGCCAATTGTGTCAAACCTGAAAAAAGTTACCGATCCTGCTTATAGTTCCTTTGAGTGAATATAACATCTCAAAGAAGCCTATACGACAGCACAGCTGGCCTATAGCTAATGTTTATAGAATATTGCCCAAAACGCCAACGAAAAGCAGTACAGAGTGTGGTAGAGACATTTAGTACACATTTCTGTGATTATTTTGGTATCTTTAGCTTTGAAGATTTTTTCAGATTTTTCACATTAACACTCGTAATTTAGAAAATGTTCCCAGATTTTTCACATATTATACTACGTTCGTAACAATAAACAAGGCAACAACAAGGACGCGCTTATAGGAACGCTGGCCGATCGCAAAAATGATTGGGCTGTTTTTCTGATTGGTTTGTACATTATGCGCCAAAAATTACTCAGACTATCATGGCAAAGGACGGGTTATAAAGTTTACTAGAAATACATGCATGCAGAAACCCCTCGCCTCAGATTAACAAAATTAGTTAAAGCATAGGGTGGTAACATGATTGTTAGAAAATTTATGTATGTGAGAAAAAGAAATTGAGAAAAGTGTGAAAATATTTTTCTGCACGTGAAAGCACTGTAGTCATAGCAACTCGGAACGGCCGTATATTTTTAAAGAATCAAAGTTTACCCCAGTGTTGCCAAGTTCGGGATTTTATCCCGAGATCTCGGGATTTTTTTGAAGCAGTTGGGATTTTTTTGGGATTTATTTCTCAAATGGTAATCTCGGGATTTTTTTAGGGATTTTTGGGAAAGGGAAGTTTGGAATTTGGGAAAAGATGTTTTCGTTAAATCGACAAATAAACATTTTAAAAATCCAAGGTACTAGGACTGGGTACTAGGGTGCGCCAAGGCTGAGGACTGGGGTTGAGATTAGAATCTCGGGATTTTAGGGGGAATCTCGGGATATTTCAGGCGCTTACTTGGGATTTTCACAAAATTACAGTTGGCAACACTGGTTTACCCTCATATTTTTGTGAAAAGATGGCAAAAATACGACAAGATTCTTACCTTTCTCCGGAAGTTAAGTTGCTCATCTATAGTCAGTGTTATGATAAATTATTTTGATTATTAATTACCATGAAATATAACATCAGACGTCTCATATAACTTCCGAAGTTTTATGTTACACCTCGATTGGTTTTTGCACCGGAATGTTTTGATTTTCTTTTCTTTTTGTCATTATGAAAACGGAGTTAATAAATGAAATTATAATGTCGTTTATCACATAACACATTCAGATTTATAGTGAAATACATTTGAGAATATTAAAGTTGTGTTTACCACAAAAAATTACTTTTTAAAGCTGTGGATTTTCATATTATATTTAAATATTATCAAGTGTAAAATCTTCCGACTTTATTATACACGGTGAATTCGGTCAAAAATTTGGTCTTGTTATTTGTTAAACCGTGAAAAGTCCTGACCACATTCGAGTTTCCCTCTAATTTAATAAAATACATATATTCTTCATAAAATTCAAAATTCATAAATTTCATCAAAATTTTTTCGAAATGACAGTTATTTATTGACGTTTGAAAATACAAATTTTTTTCTCGACCAATCAAGAGCTTAGTGGTTCACACTGGCGCATGCGCATAACGTAGAAGACCGTCCATGGCGTGAGGTCACTCGTGAGGTCCATTGCATAATGGCGGACAACTTTGATTTCGCATTTGCACATCGTGGGTGTAAATATCCGAGCGGAATTAGTACCCTCGCACGGTGCTCTGCACCGGCTCGGGGACAATATTTAAAATACAGAAGTGGTCAGAACATGCAAGAAAGAGTAATTCCAGAAGTATACGGTTGTTATGAATAGAAGAGTAAATATGCGGACTACGCGTGTGATTTACGCTGAAACAGTCTACTGACTTGAAAATGGAGTTTGTATAACATTTTTAAGAGCTATCGTTTCGAGGTACTCCGTTGTAGCTAAGTTAACTCATGTTTTAACCCGATGATATATATATATATATAATTATATATATATATATATATATATATATATATATATATCCATTCGCCTGATGATCGCCCGCCTTGTGCGTGAAACACCGCGGTGTAGCGATGACAATATTTTTAGATTAGACATTTATTTATTTAATCATTTTGCTCTATTTATTGTTATTGAGCACTCTTTGTTCAAGTATGGACAATATATATATATATATATATATATATATATATATATATATATATATATATAGATTACATATATATATATATATATATATATATATATATATATATATATATATATATATCCGTCCGTATGGTCCGTATGGAAAGTAGTAAGGCAACTGAGTAGTAGACCAGAGTTACTAGAAAAATAGCAGGGCCGTTGGGATCCGATTTGCGCTGTCAATTTTTTTATTAATCACATACAACCTAAATTTTGCATTGGTATTGTCCATCTTGAATTCCTCAGCTGATTTGAAACGCAGCCAAAGAAAGTTTTTTACCTGAATTGTGTACACAATGGCATGTAGTTAAGCGATGAAATCTGTTAAATTTATTCCATATATATAACTAACACCAAAAGGAGAAAAGCGCCGTCAAAAACGTAAACTATTTCTCTGCAAGTGAAAATCCAGCTTATGTTTCATTTTCCTATCGGTAAAAATTCCCTTTATCATGTCTAGATTAATACACTATTATCAGTCACGTTCAAATGGCTACTGCCAGTGCAGTCAGCAAAATTTCTGACGATGAACGACGATGGGTGATCGTTGGTATATGTCTAAACAAAGTTCTCACTCCAGCATTGAGAGAAGTTCTTGGAAATAAAATACCAATGTGGTACCAAAACCTGCTCCCACATCCTGATGAGATAGATAAACAGACATTAGGAAGACATAAGAAGAAGTTGCCACCTTCTACATTGAATTTAAACTACGAAAGTATCAACAACAATTTCACAAAGCACAAGTCGTTTGTCCGTAAATACGACTATGCTGTCAAAGATGCAGTATCCCTAGCGAAGTTGTTCATGAAACCATTTATGGCCAGCTTTACTGGTTTTGATGACACTATGGACACTTCTGCAGCTTTGTCACTCGTCGCTGAGGCCCAACCTTTTCACGCTTCTGGAGCTGGGGGTACGGCGAAAAAAATAAGATCAGATATCAGAAATGAGTGGGCACATTGTGATTTTGCACACTGGACAGACGTCGTTTACCAAGCAGCTCTAAAAGATATGGAGACATTAATAAATCAACTCAACCTTACACCTTCGAAGAGAAAGGAAATGCTTGATGATCTTGTTGACTGGAAAGAAAAAGGTACTGAACCAACTGAGTTCCATAATCGCTAAGAAGCAAAACGTGTAGTTTAAAAAACATATAAAAAAACATAAAATTAAAAAACAAAAAGTTTCGTTGTCTCGAACTGTTCTTCTCTACCCTGTAAGATGCGAATTCAACTGATCCTCGAGATTACGAGGTTTTTTGTTGTTTCCTGTAGTATCCGATATGAATTACATTCTCGAGTGACTGCGAGCTATAGCGTAGCAAACGAGTTGCAAAAACATGACGAATCGACTTTATGTGTATAGACAGCAGCTTGACAAATACACGCTTTTTAAATCATGAAAATGCTTTAAAACATGAAAATGACAAGTTTTTCGTGGCCAGCTGAGAGCATCCATTGCGTGTTAATTTCGATATCCCATTATATTGTTTCAGGTCTGAAACTTTGTTTTGGCGAGCCAGTAGATCCTGAATTGCTGGAACTCGTCCACACTGAGGTTGCTGAACTTAAAGATTTGGTAAAATTTGTTGAAGAGAATACAGAGAATATTCTGGTAAATGCAATTAATAGAATTCACTGAAATTATATCCCTTGTGACCCGCTGTGCATGCCGAAGAACATTCCAGATAATATTTTTTGACTTGTGGTTAAAGTTGATATTTAAATAGGAAAAGTTGAAATGGAATAGTTTGCAGCACAACTATAGAGTTTTGAGAAAGAAAGCAATAAAGCAATCACACTACATTTGATATAAACTACTCGAAATGCATGGATGTAGTAACCCCGGCCATTTCAGGTAAAAGTGTGATTGCATGAGCTATCCCAACCCAAACCAAGGCATGCAGTCTTATATTTATTAATAATATGAAATCACTCAAATGAGTCGATAGCTAATACGTATATTTATATTAGTTATCGACCGAAACAAATATGATCACGAAAGTGAAGAAAACGTCACCTGTTTTTTTTCTGCATTAAGCTGCAAATATTTTTGCAATAATTTTGCGTGGCCTACTTGTGCACTTGAGATTTTCCGTTTACACTAATAATATTCTTTGCATACAGAACATATTAGAAGCAGTCGAAAAATCTTTGAAAAATGAAATCCAAGAGTTAAAGGAAAGACAACTCCGTACTGAGAAAGATGTCGAGCAATTGAAAGATAAACAGGACGATTTACAGGTGACCATCTCAAAACTGAGAAACGAAAAAGAACCACGATATCTTTTCATGGCGCCTAAACAGAGTGTCTGGTTTAGTGGCCGAAAATCTGAACTCGGTTATCTTCGAGACGTACTCGAGAATAAGAGAAGATGTGGCGAGGAAGGAGTCCTTGTTGCTGCCATCTCTGGTCTTGGAGGATGCGGGAAAACAAGCCTTACTGCAGAATATATACACAAATGGAAAGGTTATTATCAAGGAGGTGTTTACTGGTTTTCCGCAGAAAGCGATGTCAAGTTCAAAGCTTCGGTCGATGAGATAGCCGCGCAATTCGATACACTTTATAACGATTCGTTCAATGTTACATTGTACAAGACCCTAGCAGTTTTTTCACATATTACAAAACCATGGCTGGTGGTTGTTGACAATATGGATGAAGCTGATCTTTCACCAAATTTGGTTAATTTGGTATCAGGGCCGTGGCAAGAAAACGTCGCGTGTTTTGGTCGTCTCATCATAACAACACGACGAACACCTCAGGATTTAGAAGAGCAATTATCTGGTATCGAAGAATCCAATTGCCTCAAACTCGAATGCTTTGGTAGTGAGGAGGCGAAAGAATTCGTCTTCAGAAGAACTAACATTACTCGTGATGAACAAAAAGGTAAGTTAGGTAAAATCAAATACTTTATATAAGATTTTACCACAATAGTTATATAGTAATGGCGGTATACGATAATTATCTATTCTGCGCCACGGTACACGAGCAAGTCTATGTAAGGACTTTGTTCGCTGACCTATATTAATTTAAGGAACTAAATAAAGAACATTTTATAAAACCGGCCTGTAGGAGCAAATCCAGATGGCCAAAACATTTCCAGCATAAATTTGAATAAATTGGACGAAAAGTTGCAAAAGTAATTTATCGAAAAGGCAATTGAAAAAACGCCACTTTGTCAGTTCGAGCCTTTTATTTCCCTTGAGGTCTTAATTGTATTTAATATCAGACGCAGTAAGATTTTAAGAATAATTAAGATTAGTACCGTGAAATTAAGCAACTTCAGACTGCTCTTTCCTACATAACGTAGCAATATCAAAAAAGAAATATTCTGCAACATATACTTAGCCCCCAAAAAGTATAAATTCAGTTGAACAAATATCTGGCATTTGTTACATATAAGTTACTTCAGTGTAAACAACAAATTGACCTTAACACTATTTACTTTCCCTTACACAGAACTTTCCGCGGACTCGCTATGTCAAAAGCTTGGTGGCTTACCATTAGCATTAGAACAAGCTTGTGCATACATCAAGTATCTGGGATGCTCATTATCTGAGTACTTAGGGTCGTACGAGGAACAGTCCCTCCAACTTCTAAACAAGAAGAAAGCTACCTCTTTTTATGGAACTTCCCCAGAACGATTGGCCGTTCGTACCACGTGGCGTCTCAACTTTGAACATATCAAAAAAGATGAAAACGGGATCGTCGCCACTCGTTTTTTGAATGCTTCGGCGTTTTTTGATCGCAATGAAATTCAAAAAGACCTCATAAATGTTGGCGATCCACTTGTTGACGACAAAATATATTGTGATTACGTGAGCTCTTCTTTGGGTTCCCTCGAAGTTCTGAAACTCTTGACTGACTTTTCTCTTTTTAAGGAAACTCACGATTCTTCCCTCACTGTTCATCGTTTAGTCCAAGAGGTCATTCGAGAAAGTCTGACCTCGGAGGAGAAAGTTGAAAGCATTGTTGACGCAGCCCGTCTATTACGTTTTGCCTTCTTACAATGCCCATCTCCTGATAAAATTTCAGAAAGTGTGGTAACTGAATATGGTGATCGACCATCCCTCTATCCAAATGATTCTTCTAATTTTTATAAGTGGCATAAGTTGTGTTTACATGCCCATGAAATTAGAAGGAATCTTGAACGTCTTTTGGAAGTCGTCAGCGATGTTACCGGAAAAACTGTCTTTCTGACAGAGATAGCGAGGGTTGTTTACGAATGTGCTTTGCACTTGAATGTTAGTAATTTGAGTAGTCGGGCAAAAATTGTCGGAGATTTTGCTCATCGTATTCTTGACTGGAATCGCGGAGAGATTTTAGGGCAAGATCTGAAGGCTCTATTTCCGCATATATTTCCACTGTCAGAGCGCCTTCGTAGGCTTATTCAATACTCTTGTAAGGCACCTACTGAAGGAGACAACAGTCTTAATAGTACTAATACTTCTAACACCTCTGTTAATGATTCCTTGAAAACGGAAATTGAAAACATGCGTTTGGAAGGTAATACACAATTCATCCAAAGCAATTTCCAAGAGGCTATCGAAAGGTACTCTTTAGGTATTGATAAAAGTAAAGGAAAGCAATTCTTTGACCCTAGGTTACTCAGTAATCGTGCTTCGGCCTATCTTAGGTTAATGCAGTATGAAAATGCCTTAGATGATGCCGAGGAATACATTAAGGATTCACCTGAGTGTTCGAAAGGTCACGCCAGGAAAGCCGTGGCTCTTCAAGGCCTGAATGAAAAGTGGGATGCAATGAGTGCAGCTTCCTTAGCATTTTATCATGATCGCAAAATCTTTGACAAATACGAGCCATTCAAAACCACATTTCCTAAGTTGAAAGAATGTATTCATATTTGTGATGAAACCTTTGCACTTCTTTTCCTGCTTTCTCAGTGCCAGTCTGGGGATGTTTCAGGCATGCCTATTAAAATCATTGTTCTCGAGCCAGGAGACTATACTCTCTCTACGCGATTAGATTTAGAGAATGTTATTCTTGTTGGTGTCGGAGATCATGTTACATTATCATTTACGGATGATTTCGGTTTGCTTTCTGGAAACTTTATGGCAGTCAACATTTCGTTTGTATTTAACGTCGGAAACTGGTCGACGAAACCCAAATCTGAGGTTAAGGTTTTTAAATGTTCTGTTACTAGTAAAAGCATTCCTTGTGCTCTGTTGTCCTCAGGAAATCTTATGGTCAAGAATTCTATTTTCCGAAGTTGTGAAGGTAACGCTTTGGTCGTTCAAGGGAAGGCTTGGGTCGAGGATTCTGAATTTTCAGCAAGCAAATCTATTGGATTACAAGTTGTCGGTTTTGCAAATCTTCAGCTTAAGAACAGCAAACTTTACGGAAACCAGTGGGGTTTGGATGTTCAGTTTGGTACGTGTAATGTTACCGGATGTCAAATATATGACAACATGAAAATAGGCGTGGGTGTCGGAAATGGCGGGAAAGTAAAGCTTACACAGAATGAAATATTCCACAATGATCGACATGGAGTTTGTCTCATTGAAAGATCATCGGCAGTCATCGAAAAAAACGAAATATTTCAGAACGGCTGGCATGGAATTTCAACGCTGAGTGATGCGTCTTGTGTTATTTCGAATAATAGTATCTACCAAAATAAATGTGGTGGCATTCATGCAGCACCTGTATCACGTCAACAACCGCAGTCAGTTATAGAATTTAACAAGATATCTGGCAACGAAGGCCCAGGTATTGACCAAATGCCCGCATACGCTGATTCTGTGAATAGTCCGTTTCCCACGTTCTCGAATGACGAAGTTTTGACAGCAAAATGTACGGGAAACATACTTGAAGAAAACATAAGTGACGGAATGCCACCACCCTCACAAAATTTACCCGACATCTGTTGGTTCTGCCGACAAAATGTGGATTTAAAAAAGTGTACGAAATGTTTCGTATCAGGATACTGCAAGCAAGAATGCCAAAAAGCCGACTGGGAACATCATAAGAAAGAATGTGCTCGAATTTTAGAGAAACACAGCGTTTTAGTGAAAATTCTACCATTGTCACTGGGATTAAAGGGCGATAAAAGCGTTGTCACCCCGGAATTTGAATACAAGGCGCCTTTCAAGTGGTTGGAACCAAGTGGCCCGGAATATGAAAAAGCACCAACGTTTGGAAAACGTTTTATCGTTAAGGTGCAAGCCTGCGATGTTTGGAGAAAATCGAATTACGGAGGTGCTATGCTCGCCATAGAAGATCGTAGCCAAACAATTAACGGTGATCTTGATATGAACGACGAACAATGCTTTCGAATTTATAATCTTGTAAGAGAATGTGGTTCAAACTGTAACAGCTATGGATGGAAGAAAAAGTTTCTTTGGGCTTTACTTGCAAAGGGAAACAAAGTTCGAGTATTTACAAGTGATTTTCCACCGTATCAACGTTGGTAGGCCGGTGAGAACTATCAGTTGACAATGTTATACTTTTTACCTATACACGTTTTTATATACCCATATTATCATGTATCCATATTTTCATAATAATCCTCATTAACACTGTATACTGCAGTCGAATTTTGACAATAGCAACAGGGCTAAAAAATAGCGCGAGAATTAGAGGGCGGGGGGGGGGGGGGTTCGACAGGGGCCAGTTGTATAAAAAGCTATTTAATTTTAATTGTCGTTAAGGACAGAATTGGCTAATCAGAGTGTATTTCTGAGTTAACCAGGATTTAACTATGCAAAATTTAATTAAAGAGTTTTATACAACCGTCCCCAGAAAGTTTTTCAAAACAATATTCGTATAAAAGCCGGAGATCTGTCGGACATCCCCTCTCCCATTTATTGCATCTACTTTTGGTCCTAAGTAGTAATGAGAGAAGTACGTCTTTTATGACTATCACCTCTGTTGATTAAAGAACACTTTGCAATTGATTGACTATAAGTAACAATTTCAGGATGCTTTTAGTAAATCGCAGTGGCGGTCTAGGGTAAATCAAAACAAATGATCGCAGCAAAATTTTAAAAGTACCTGAAAAGATGCCAATGGTTCTAAATTTCTAAGGAACATCTTTCAGAACTCAAATTTCAGAACTCCTCGTTATTTGAATTTATTTGAAAGGTTTTTAAAATGCTAAAATACATATCAAAATGTGTGCTTTTATCATTTATTTTGATCAATCCTAAATCCGCCGAGGGATACTTATCTAGCTTTTCATATTTATCAAAATTTGTAAACACTTTAGTCACGGCCAAAATTAACTGTTGCATGTAAAGCTTCACTCGTCTTTAAGAGTTGAATCAATATATTATTGAATTCGTTATTCAAATTAGAGAAATAAAACTTTTCATTTTGTTAACACTTCGTTAGTTAACACTTCGTTCGAATTAGAAATATTGTTTTAAATACTCTATTGTTTTTCCTCCCAAATTCGATAATTTACTAAACAAACGTACATAAAGCAAGGCACCAAATTCTGTTGAGAAGCAATGATTCCGTTATTTTCCAAATGCTCGGCTGACGGCTGAGAGTTTATTAGACATTATTTTTTCAAAAATTTTAGCGACTAATGATAGAACAGATATGGCTCTGTAGTTATATTACTGTAGTTATGGCTCTGTAGTTTTGCTTTCCATATTTATAAATAATTCTATACATAAAAAGGGAGCTACATGCTTTGATATTTCATAGATTGAAGTAAACTAAACACATCCAACTCTAACGCCTGTATTCTAAAAGCTCACTCACATGCACTCAAACTCGTCAGTTGAGTTGGAGATCTCAATCTTCTCAAAACGTTTAAGTGATTAGCCAGATACCTTTCCTTATACCATACAAACCGTTTCTCTTTTATACTGACCTCCCCTCTTAAATGGAAAACAATGAATTACAAATTAAATTGCAATGATGTTGCAAACGGAGAAACGGCGTTGGTAACGTGAAGCTATAACTGTAACAACATTGTGTAAATACATTGCGTATAGGTGCAACCCATTTTTTATTAGAGAGCTTTAGATTTGACTACGGCTCCCGCTACCTTTCGTCACATGCGTGATATTAGGGAGGTTAAGATCTACTTCCACTACCAGTACCGATACGAAAATACATGACGTATTACAGTTTGGCAGCGCGGAAATTTTAAAGCGTTAAGATTGTGACTTCCGTAAGAAGTAAATAAACATGGCGGAGTATAGCGGCTGTATTCACATCAAAAACTCTAATCACAATCCTTATTAAGTCTCACCAAACAAAGCAGAAACATTATACAACTAAAAACTAAACAATATTATTAGAAAACGTCTGCAGAAAATGACAATACAGTAAATATAATTCGGTACTTCGCCTACCTATCCACTTCCATTTTCAGCCCCAAAATGGTACTCGCGACTTCCAGTGTTGTCACATTTTGGACGATTGTTACGTCTGCGCATGCGTGTGACTGATTATTGGTATCGGTACTCGTAGCAGAAGTCGATCTTAACCTCCCTAATATATAAACGAAGGCGACGGCGAATATCATCAATTCTTGTGAAACAGTTTGTCTCTTTCTATTCCACGTGCATGAATACGAATCTCATAAATTATGAATTCTACTGGCCAATAGGAATATATACACAGGCCCGTGGCTACCAGGGGGGGGGGCTAGGTGGGGCTTCAGCCCCCCCCCCAATAATTTGCTTATATTAATTATCAATTATATATCAATTAAATTAAATTCCGCTGAACTTGTTGACAGACATGCACACTCGGCCATTTTGAAAGAATATATTAATAATATATAGCTCGGCGCACAGTACGTAAATTTCAATACGTCTGTCACAATCACAACTCACGAGTTAGTTATACACTGGCGGTCAAAAAGAACTGCTCAAATGTTGCTATTATCGTATGTAACAGGAATCGTGACAATCTATCTTTTATTGTATACGTACAGTAGCGGTCAAAAGGAACTGTTTAGATACAAAATGATAAAAAGAAGCGAATATAGGAGAGAGCTTCATAGGCATTTTGTATAATAATTATTCTCTTATTCCAAACGATATTTCAATAATGTAATGCAAGCTGCCACGCTTTCAAGATATAGTCAAACAATGGTTTCAGGAAGAGGGAGTGACAGAAATGGATTGGCCTGCACAGTCAAAAGACTAAGACCCTATTGAAAATCTGTGGGACAATGTCAAGGGGATAGTGCAAGAAAGGAATTCATTCATAAAGCGTCCATGATTTATGCGTTGCTGTAAAGACTGTCCATAGGATGAATTTCTTTTGACCGTGAAGATTACCACCTTAACAGGAAGTATGACACGCCGGTGTAAAGCCGCCATCAATTATAAGGCCAAAGGAGGGTCAACAAAATATTAATATTTCATATAGCTTAGCATGTAATCTAGTCTATATTTGCTCGTATGTATTGTTAGAGGGACAGTTACGTTCATTTGTCACCATTTTAACTTGTTTTGAGCAGTTCTTTTTGACCGCCAGTGTATATTAACATCCAGCTTCGCTTGGAGGTGAAGATTTCAGAACATATTGCTAATACTGGCCGGGAGGTTCAACTTGTTGATTCCCAAACAAGTTTAAAATATGTTTGATTGCTGGTGACTATATAATTAAACCAGCAAGTCAGTGATTTGTGATGTCGTCTGGAAACCAAAAGTCAATTTTGTTCCGCTTCAAGAAGAAAAACGCTGAAAAACGTTTGTTATATGAAGTGGTTACACTGGCCCAACTTCTCCTGTCACTCCGGCCACGAATGCAGTTAGTGAAAGAAGCTTTTCAGCTTTAAAAAGGCTAAAAACGTACCTCAGATCTACTACAGGAGATAATCGACTCAACAACTTAATGTTGATTCACGTGCATCAAGATAAAACAGACGAATTAAATTTAAAAACAGTCGCAAACGAGTTTATTGCGGCGAGCGAGAATCGAAAGCGAGTGTTCGGTTTTTTTAAATGTTAGAAACCTTTTAACATTTGATTAGCGATAGTTCACTAACATAGCTAGTTGGGGTTGACGAGTGGCGTGATTGCTTCTATTTCTATCGCCAACGTGAGACTTTCCATCCTCGGCCTGAGCCCCCCCCAATAATGTATATAGGATACAGTACGTTGCAAAAAACATTGTGAATAAAGATGCAGCTATTTTCACAGCTGTCCTACCCTGGAAGTAAATGCCCCAGGAACGATGTTGGTTACTAGTTGACAAATTTTCGAAATAATGACTTCTAAGATGTACACTTATATTGGACTTACTTTAGCCTCTTTCTAAATTTGCCAGTTAGTCTTCTAAACAGTACTCGTTCATAACTTTGTCTTTGTTTATCATTTCGTCGTGTGATAAGGGAAGCGCGTAGATATTGGTTCTTTGATTGATGAGATGCGAGCATGCATCTAGCCCACATTTAGCGCAAAGATAGCAACTTCACATTTGGCTACAGTTTAGTAATATTTTTTCCGCATGCAATGTGACAATGCTTTATGTACACAGCAGGTGTGTAGGTATTATAAAGCGTTCTGAGACATTCGAAGTCATCCTGCACATGTTATATAGTTAAAGCTATTAGCTAAAAATACAAACATATTTAACACAGCTACATTATATAAGTGATCATGCATGTGCAAGGGCTCAAAATAAAATATATATTCAGAAAGATAAAAGACATAACCTCAGTATCATTATATCTCAGTTGCTATACTTTATATATAGGGGCATATAAAATAAATATAGACCTGGAACGGTAAATCAACACTTTCTTTATAGAATACATAATACAATTGAAATTCATTTTAAGTTTCAATTTTGTGTCTTTCGTGTCGTGAGTATAAATCATTTATATGTTTTTTAAGATATCTTGTTTATTCAGAAATTGTTTTTTTGCCTCACGTTTTAAAAATATATATTATGTTATATCTAAATTATACAGGATGTAAAGACCTTAGGAACTCCCGTTGTGCTTTGGCACGATGATGCCTGGTTTCCATTTAGACTTCATTGCCGTGACATGTCACGTTGGCCATGTGATATAACATTTCTGGGTGTGTAGTCAAACAATGGGTGTGTATGGGTGTGTAGTCAAACAATGGGTGTGTATGGGTGTGTAGTCAAACAATGCCCGAATTGCATTAAGAAGTAAAGACAAATTTACGCATGACTATTTCACATTCGTGAGAATCACGACAGTGACGACTAAATGAATACCAGGCTCAAGGGTAATTTCTATAAGTCTCTTTTATTTGGATAAACCCGCGTGGATAGTGTGTCTCGAAAAAGGCGAACCACAAATATCATTCATCGTCCTAACAATGCCATGTTGAAGCTAGGTAAAAGTAAATTAAGGGATGCAATGTATTAAGTATCTGTTGAATTAGGCCAAAATTGCTTGTCATGCGAAACATTTTCCATAGGAGAACCCGAAGATTGTCCTATAGTGGACATTGTGTGTAATTAGTAGCGAGTTCAAATTTAACATAACATTAAAAATCAGAATAATAGCGGATTTTTAGGTGTTTCGCTTTTTCGACACAACGTGTAAAACACCCAGTTTTATCGCATATATTATATTTTAAAAATATAGTCTACCATGCTAAAAGCAATTAAATCAACTATACATATTAAATGCCTAGTGCGCAATTTTGAACCGTTATTTCATGGACTTGTTTGATTCTCTTTTTAACTGAGTGATAGATAACATTTGTCGTTACCAAAGTTGATAGCTTGGTAAATCAGTGAGAAATACGCGCACTGTACGGTAATCTCCTGCAAGGACAGCCCAAAAGAACTTCTTTTTCCATCCTAAACATTCACAGTTGAAGCCACACTCTCTTACAATGCGATAAATGCCGTCGCAATGGTCACCCATAGCCAAACTTCCGTTAACAGACAGGCTACGATCTCTTATAGAAAGAAGGGTACGTCCGCGATTAGATTTTCTTGGACCATCACAGGCTTGTATCTTAACAACGAAACGTTCACCGTTGTTGGGCGGCCGCGCGTGTGCACGTCCACAAGGCTCAAGGACCGACCATGGCATCCCCCTTTCATTACCCTCGTCTAAAACCATCTTGTCGCCAATGAGACCGGATGACAATGGAAGAACTTTTACCAAAACGCTATATCTCTCCAATAGTCGAACGCAACAATTTTTGTGGATTTCAAAGTCATCTTTTTCGCATCCTGGGCTGCAGTATCCTGCGATAAAACAGTTGTCACATTTCTTCCAATGGCCTTTCTTGTAACAACGAAAACAAATGTCAGTGAACTCCTTCAGTTGTGGATGGCTGCCTCTCTCCATGTTATTTTTCACCTCATTGTCAGTGCATTTCGCTAGCAAGAATTCAGCACCTCTTGCGGAAAAGACTTCAAAAAGATTCGGCATCGCACTATCGAGTTCATCATCCCAACCTATGGCTTGGTCAATACCAGGCCCCTCGTTCCCAAAAATACGATTGGACTCAATAATTGATTGCCGCAGACCTGATGCTTTTGTTACTGGCACCACATGAATGCCGCCACATTTGTTTTGGTAAATTCTGTTCCGAGAAATATGGCACCAAGCATCGAACGCTCGAATACCCAGCCAATTGTTCTCAAATATTTCATTTTCCTCTATGACAGCGGAACCTTTTTCACGAACAAATACACCATCACGGTCATTGTGAAATATTTCATTTCGTGTAAATGTTGCATTTCCTTCCTGGACTCCTATACCCATTTCCTGGTTATCATAAACTTGACAACAAGCCACACGACATTTGCCATGCATTAGAAGTAAACCCCATCGGTTACCGTGAAGTTTGCTGTTTTTGAGGCAAAGACTTCCACCGAAGATTTCTATTCCAGCAGACTTGTTACCAGAAAAGACGGAGTCTTCAACAACAGCTTCTCCTTCAGTGAACAGGGCAGTATTTTTGCAATTGTTAAACACACAATTTTTCACACTGAGATTTCCTTTTGACAGAAAAGCACGCCAATCTAGATTGCACGTGAACGAACAGTTCAACAGCTTGACTGTAGAGCCCTGCAGGGTACCCCAGTTTGCAACATCGAATATAAAAGAGATGTTATAAGCCACAACGTTGCGGGAAAGCAGACCTAAATTACGATCGAAGGAGAGTGAAGGCGAGCTATCACCCAAACCAACAATGCAAAAATCAAGTGTTATCAACCGCTTTATATTGACATTGAAAATATCTTCATCTTGAATTCGAAAACTTTCGAAATCCTTGGCATGGAGACAATATTTGCCTGGTTTGAGGAGAATGATTTTGCACGGGCGATAAGCAAACATCTCATCATTTAGCGGAGGAGAAAGCAAAGAAACCAGTGAAAGAACGTCATCACAAATATGAATACGTTCTTTCATATTGGGAAATGAAGTTTTGAACGGTTCGTATTTCTCGAAGATACTGGGGTGATAATAAAAGGCCAAAGCTGCAGCACATACAGAATCTTGTTCATTTAGGCCGTGAAGAGCCAAGGCTTTCCTAGCGTAGCCTCTCCAACAATCAGGAGAATACTTAATGTATTCCTCAGCATCGCTCAGAGCATCTTTGAACTGCTCTAACCTGAGATAAGCAGAAGCACGATTACTAAATAACCTAGGGTCAAAAAAATTCTTCCCTATACTTCTATCAATACATGAAGAGTATACTGTTACAGCCTGTTCGAAATTGCTTTTCATGAATAGGTCATTACCTTCAGATCGCAAATTATCGATTTCTGCTTTCATGGGATCATAAGCAGAGGTCTTAATAATAGTATTGATATTTTCTATCTCAGGGGGAGCCTCACAGGAGTATTTGATTAACCTACGTACAGACTCTGACAGAGGAAACGTATGTGGAAAGAGAACCCTCAAACCATTCTCCGAAATCTCTTGGCGACTACAGTCAAGAATCCGATTGGCAAGGTCTCCAACAATTTTTGCCTGACTACTCAAATTATTGACATTCAAATGCAAAGCACATTCGTAAACCGCCCTTGCTATTTCTGGTAGAAAGACAGTTTTCCCGATAACATCATGGACGACTTCCAAAAGACGTTCTAGATTCCTTCTAATTTCATGTGCATGTAAACACAACTTATGCCACTTATGAAAACTCGAAGAATTATTTGCATAAAGAGAAGATCGATCACTATATTCAGTTACTGAAATAAGATCAGGAGAGGGACATTTCGAGAAGGCAAAACGTAACAACCGGGCTGCGTCAACAATGCTTTCAACTTTCTCCTCCGAGGTCAGACTTTCTCGAATGACCTCTTGGACTAAACGATGAACAGTGAGGGAAGAATCGTGAGTTTCCTTAAAAAGAGAAAAGTCAGTCAAGAGTTTCAGGACTTCAAGGAACCCAAAGAAGAGCTCACGTAATCACAATACATTTTGTCGTCAACAAGTGGATCGCCAACATTAATGAGGTCTTTTTGAATTTCATTGCGATCCAAAAACGCCGAAGCATTCAAAAAACGAGTGGCGACGATCCCGTTTTCATCTTTTTTGATATGTTCAAAGTTGAGATGCCACGTGGTACGAACGGCCAATCGTTCTGGGGAAGTTCCATAAAAAGAGGTAGCTTTCTTCTTGTTTAGAAGTTGGAGGGACTGTTTCGTACGACCCTAAGTATTCAGATAATGAGCATCCCAGATACTTGATGTATGCACAAGCTTGTTCTAATGCTAATGGTAAGCCACCAAGCTTTTGACATAGCGAGTCCGCGGAAAGTTCTGTGTAACGGAAAGTAAATAGCGTTAAGGTAAATTTGTTGTTTACACCGACGTAACTTTATGTTGAATTAAAGATGTAACAAATGCCAGATATTTGTTCGACTGAATTTATACTTTTGGAGCTAAGTATATGTTGCAGAAATTCTTATTTGATATTGCTACGTTATGAGGGAAGAGCAGTCTGAAGTTGCTTAATTTCACGGTACTAATCTTAATTAATCTTAAAATCTTACTGCGTCTGATATTAAAGACAATTAAGAACTCAAGGGAAATAAAAGGCTCGAACTGACAAAGCTGCGTTTTTTCAATTCCTTTTCGATGAATTACTTTTGCAACTTTTCACCAATTTATTCAAATTTATGCCGAAAATGTTTTGGCCATCTTGGATTTGCTCCTACGTACAGGCCGCTTTTATAAAATGTTCTTTATTAGTTCCACTAGTATAGGTCAGCGAACAAAGCCCTTACATGGACTTGCTCGTGATCGTGGCGCAGAATATATAATTATCGTATTACCATAACTATTGTAGTAAAATTTTTATATAAACTTACCTTTTTGTTCATCACGAGTAATGTTAGTTCTTCTGAAGACGAATTCTTTCGCCTCCTCACTACCAAAGCATTCGAGTTTGAGGCAATTGGATTCTTCGATACCAGATAATTGCTCTTCTAAATCCTGAGGTGTTCGTCGTGTTGTTATGATGAGATGACCAAAACACGCGACGTTTTCTTGCCACGGCCCTGTTACCAAATTAACCAAATTTGGTGAAAGATCAGCTTCATCCATATTGTCAACAACCACCAGCCATGGTTTTGTAATTTGAAAAAACTGCTAGGGTCTTGTACAATGTAACATTGAACGAATCGTTATAAAGTGTATCGAATTGCGCGGCTATCTCATCGACCGAGGCTTTGAACTTGACATCGCTTTCTGCGGAAAACCAGTAAACACCTCCTTGATAATAACCTTTCCATTTGTGTATATATTCTGCAGTAAGGCTTGTTTTCCCGCATCCTCCAAGACCAGAGATGGCAGCGACAAGGACTCCTTCTCGCCACATCTTCTCTTATTCTCGAGTACGTCTCGAAGATAACCGAGTTCAGATTTTCGGCCACTAAACCAGACACTCTGTTTAGGCGCCATGAAAAGATATCGTGGTTCTTTTTCGTTTCTTTTCGAGATGGTCATCTGTAAATCGTCCTGTTTAGCTCTCAATTGCTCGACATCTTTCTCAGTACGGAGTTGTCTTTCCTTTAACTCTTGGATTTCATCTTTCAAAGATTTTTCGACTGCTTCTAATGCGTTCTGTACGCAAAGAATATTATTAGTGTAAACGGAAAATCTCAAGTGCGCATGTAGCTCACGAAAATTATTGCAAAAGTATTTGCAGTTTAATGCTGAAAACAAAAACGGGTGACGTTTTTCTCACTTTTGTGATTATATTTGTTTCGGGCGATAACTAATATAAATATATTAGCTATCGACTCATTTGAGTGATTGCATATTATTAATAAATATAAGACTGCATGCCTTGGCTTGGGTTGGGATAGCTCATGCAATCACACTTTTACCTGAAATGGCCGAGGTTACTACATCCATGCATTTCGAGTAGTTTATATCAAATGTAGTGTGATTGCTTTATTGCTTCCTTTCTCAAAACTGTATATTGTGCTGCAAACTATTCCATTTCAACTTTTCCTATTTAAATATCAACTTTAACCACAAGTCAAAAAATATTATCTGGAATGTTCTTCGGCATGCACAACGCGCGGGTCACAAGGGATATAATTTCAGTGAATTCTATTAATTGAATTTACCAGAATATCCTCTGTATTCTCTTCAACAAATTTTACCAAATCTTTAAGTTCAGCAACCTCAGTGTGGACGAGTTCCAGCAGTTCAGGATCTTCTGGCTCGCCAAAACAAAGTTTCAGACCTGAAACAATATAATGGGATATCGAAGTCAACACGCAATGGATGCTCTCAGCTGGCCATGAAAAACTTGTCATTTTCATGTTTAAAGCATTTCATGATTTAAAAAGCGTGTATTTGTCAAACTGCCGTCTATACACATAAAGTTAATTCGTCATGTTTTTGCAACTCGTTTGCTACGCTATAGCTCGCGTCACTCGAGAATGTAATTCATATCGGATACTACAGGAAACAACAAAAAACTTTGTTATCTCGAGGATCAGTTGAATTCGCATTTTACAGGGTAGAGAACAACAGTTCGAGACAACGAAACTTTTTGCTTTTTAATCTTATGTTTTTTAATATGTTTTAAAACTACACGTTTTGCTTCTTAGCAATTATGGAACTCAGTTGGTTCAGTACCTTTTTCTTTCCAGTCAACAAGATCATCAAGCATTTCCTTTCTTTTCGAAGGTGTAAGGTTGACTTGATTTATTAATGTCTCCATATCTTTTAGAGCTGCTTGGTAAACGACGTCAGTCCAATGTGCAAAGTTACAATGCGCCCACTCATTTCTAATATCTGATCTCACTTTTCTCGCCATACCACTAGCACCGTGAAAAGGTTGAGCCTCAGCGACGAGTGACAAAGCTGCAGAGATATCCATAGTGTGATCAAAACCACTAAACTTAGCCATGAATGGTTTCACAAACAACTTCGCTAGAGATACTGCATCTTTAACAGCATAATCATATGATGACTTTGGGTTCGTACGATTGTTGTTGATGTTTCCATAATTTAATATCCATGTAGAAGGTGCCAAATTCTTCTTATGTCTTCCAAATATCTGTTTATCGATCTCGTGAGGAGGTGGGAGTAGGCTTTGGTACAATTTTGGTATTTCATTTCCAATAACTTCTCTCAATGCTGGAGTGAGAACTTTGCTTAGACATATACCAACGATCACCCATCGCCGTTCATTGTCACCAACTGCAGCCGCCATTTAGAGATGTGATGTGTTATCATAGAATGCTTTAATAAGAAAGTATTATAATACTGTGTGGTATAACATACAAGTATCCGCATTAAAGCTATCTGCGATATGCATGCGTACTCGAATTGATAAATTTCACGGCATACGAAGTAGATATACTGCCTTTAACTTCTTTTTTGTATAATTCTTGGAAATTTAATATTGTTATATTCTAACTATTATACAATTAAAAAAGAGGTGGTAAGTCAGATGAACTTCTTTACACCATGAACCATCGGGAAATTCAAGAGAAGGATCGTAAGTTTATGCATATCCAGGCACGGTTGGAACGTTGATTGTGTAATCAATATAAAAACGAACATGACAGGAAGGTTAACAAGAACCTATTGAACATTTAATGCTTTGTTTTAATTAATCAATAAAGCTTTGTTCCTTGGAAAAGGAACCTGGTTTGATTCACAAAGATATTAAAACTAAATTTTGTTTTGATCAGAAAAGATGGGGTTCTCATAATGTAGCTTAAAAAATGATCATGTGATACAGTTAGCCTAACCAATAACCATCCTTCCTCCACTTATGGAAAAACAATTTTTTTCAGTTGGATGCTTCATGAATACTGCACATACAACCCAACTGAAAGACATGTAAGAATTTTTTAGCGACATAATACTAGGTTACCTAAATTGTATCAAATCGACAAATCAACATGTTTATTGGCGACATTAAAAGCTCCAAATAAGGGATGGGCACAATGTCTATTTACAGAAGAGAATGAAGAAAATAGAACTGCATTGAGTAAAATATAATAAGTACCTGAGACAGGGGGTTCATGTAGTTGCATATGGTCAAATCATTTCAATCAATAGCCTTGGTTATTTAATTTAATTAACTAAATTTAGCTATGTACATATATGTGTATATTGTTAAGACAGTGGGTAATTATCAACAGTCTATAGGCAATGTTTATGTTGGGCAATGTCAACATTACGAAACATAACAGTTTATCTAACTGTCACTTTTTAACAACATTTATATCTCTATAGCACCCCTCTTGGTGTGAATTTCTTTGTGTAAATGTATGTATAAATTTTTCCATATGTAAATAGAGTTGAACATTTATTGTAGCCAGAGATTTGGAAACAAATACTTAAAATAATATGAGAGCTCAACATATAAGCAATAAAGATGAAACCAATAAATCTCTTACTGGCTTTGTTAAAAGTTAATTCATGATAAAATTACCCAACAGAAAATTATATTTATATACTTACCCCAATAAGCCCAATCGAATGACATTGTACTGTAGTTGATCAATGATGTCCGAGAATGACTCGTTTGTCCTCGAATCGCATCAAATTGGACACATGCTATTCTCAGTCTCTTATTCCATTATTTGTGATTGAATAAGCCTGAATATTAAAATATAGCAGATATTAACACATTACATTAAAACGCAGAGCCGATTGTTTTTTGATCTTGATTTACTTAAGGCGTTACGTCTTCAAGTTCAATGACATCATCACACCTGACACGTAAAAAGCGTACAGGAAATAAATTTAACCAGACTTCTTCCCGACAAAACTTCATGTCATATCAGCCATGTAATCAATTGTCTTTTTATACAAAGCACTACAATGTTTTCATTGTGCATAAATTTCCATAAACGAGAACAGCGAGTTCCCCAGCTCCTATGATAGGTGATGATCAAAATCTTTCCTCCCATGTTAGGCTTTCGAGTAAACCTGTTCATGAATTTTTGCGATCCGATCCTAAGGGGGGGGGGGGGCACCAGGCGGAATCTTTCGCCTGAAACGAGATATTGAGCCAAAGTTTCCGTTCGACCGAAAAATTATACCAAGCTTTGCCAATTAAAAACTCCCAAGGAACCAGTTGATAGTTAAAAAGAGATGGAATCGATTCTTCGCGTAACAGAGAACAGGCTTTACACTTGCAATTTTGGCTGCGACTTTCTTCTCTGCATGAGAGATGCAAATATGCGAATAGTTATGAATGCTATAATGTACAATTGCCCTAATTCAAGCATCCGTATCTTAGTGAATCCTGTTGTTCAAAAACATGACGGCTAACGCGTGTACACTAATGTACATGTTCAATTAGGTGAAATTAGTTCGACATTTGCCAAGAGAACCCAACGAACGTGACACGCAACGGTAGTGGTAAAAATTGCTATGTTTACTTTTCAAATGTCTGTATTTTCGTTAATATATGTATTTCTCGCGAAAATTCCACACCCATGAAATCAGGGCTTTTCCTAAACGAGGTATATCGGTTTGGATTTTAGCCATGCATGGCTATACAAGGTTGCTACAAAGACAAAGTGCGCAGATACAATTGTTTTCGAGAATTTATATATACCATAACATTTCTCCCACTTTACAAGCCCACACCATTCCAATCCTCGCCCGTATTAAAGTTATAATCATAGATATGCGGATTGCCATATGGATTATGCCGTCAAACGATCCTAGACGTAAAACCATTAAGACCAACACTCCTTGTGAAAACGGCAACGTCTGTCTGAATTATTTTCGCAGAGAAAATGATCTTAATTGTCACGGGAAGGCATCTCACGTCATAATGCCTAAGGCTAAGATCTGCTCAAGCAGTGTTGGGTCAAGTCAAACATACAGGAGGTATGTTCTGGGACAACGGTATAAAACAGGATGTAATCATAAATCGTACGATACCATTCTCCAGGACCATGATGGCCTACGGTGCTCTCAAGTCAAAAACAACCTCTAGAGACTAAAGATTGGTGCATGCTTTTAGTGCAGAAAATTCACGCTAAATACGTTTTTGGATTGATATGAAGATATCCACTCCTCCTGCGCGCGAACGTTGGCCAACACTGAATGGTGCATTCTACTCCCCAAGTAATATTTTTTTCCTGAATTTATGTAATGTACAAAAAATCCCCTGTTATATAGGTAAACAAGCAGTTTATCCACCCAGCAAACGCCTTCTATACGTTATGAGAGAGTGACTTTATCAAAGTATGTAATTCGCACCATATTTAGCAGCATTTCCTTTTTTAAATATTAGGAAATGACACTTTTCAAATGTATTCGCTCTCCCCAGAGATACCCAGGAGACGAGGTTTATTTAAAGCTTTTTATTTGAAGCGTTCTTTAACGGAGAAGTTGGAATATTGAATAACCCAGGAGGTTTTTAGCTTTTTTCATTGAATTATTTACTTTAGTGATAACATGCGCACGTATAATGTAGTGGAAACCACAGGTTTCTAGCTTCAGTTCACGCCATATAGTTCACGTCTAGTATATTTCTATAGGCATATTTTCGCATATACGAACTGTATACAAAAACTTAAATATGAAAATACTCGTACTTATAACGTAAAAATATACCAAAAACGAAATCT